TGGGAGACGCGGAGGCAGCAGGAGCAGCAGCCGCAGGGCTGACGCTCGAACTGCCAGGCCCAGAAGTGCTCTGTTTCGTAAGACTGGGTGCTGGAGGTGTCACAGTTTTATTATCTAGTTCTGCTGGTGACTGCTCTGTTCCCAAACTATTTGGGGCCGATGGTTCTGGTCCCTGCCCTTCTGCTTCTCCATCCAAAGCGTATTGCTCTTCCCCTTTCTCGAGGGAGCCAGTGACCTTCTTGCAGGCTTTAGTCAGCAAGAGTTGGCCAATCTTGTCCACTTTTCCCTTTCCCTTACTTGATGAGACAGGACTGCGTCTGTTCCCAGACCCCGGACTACTGGTGAGAAGAGGTGAAACAACGGGTCCTGGCTGCGCGGCTGTAACAGAGCACTGCTCACCCGACCCACCGCTCTGAGAGGCCTCCTCTGGGCTGACGTCTTTGCCTTGCTGAGCAGGGAGATGTGAAGGAACACTGGAAGAAGTTGTAGCAGGAGAAGGCAGCTGAACAGGAGGTGCCAAGGGATTAAGAACCAGTGGCCTGCTGGTGGGAATACTGGAAACAGGACTGCTGGAGGATGTGCTGGGAGGAGCAGGCCCAGAGGAGAACTTGATATTCTGCGGTATATGCAAAGGACCAACGACAGCAACCGACTGAGGCATCAGACTAGAGTTAGACGTCATCGGGGCTGCTGGAATCGTATTGGATTGAGAGCCCTTCATAACCTGAATTATCGACGATGAGTTTATAAAAACGGGTGTAATAAACTGTGGCCGGGGGTTAGACTGAACTGTTGACTGTCCCTCAGAAACCATAACTTTGTTCCCTACGTTGGGCATTGTGACAACAGTTGACACCAATGCAGGCTGCAAGTGAGATGGCAACGATGCTGATGTATTAGCAGACGTAATAGGGTTTGAAGTTACAAAAACTGTGATCTGGTTGGGGGGTAAAGGACCCGAAATAGGAGAAGAGCTGACAGGCCTTTGCACTACCGGAGGAACACTCTGTGAAACGTTTGAGTTTATTTCTCCCAGTTCCTGGTGCCCTGGATTTGAACAGGGCTCGTTATTTTGAGGCAAGCTAAGTGAATTAGACGGCTCTTTGCTCGAGGATGGATCTTGCAGTGGAGGAATGACAGCTATCTTCTTTAGCTCCTCACCAGTGGTGACTATCGGTGTCATTTCAAGACCACTCAGCCCAGGGGGCTTAATCGTTACATTAGGAGCTCCAGAATTATCAAGAAGTTGACTTAAAGAAGTTGGTGCCTCCCTCATAGCTGGAGATACCATGGTTTTACTTTCCTCCAAGACTGGAAGCTTGCTGGTGTCCAAGGCCTGCCCCTCTTTTTTTGACTGTTCTTCTGGGACCAACACTTTCATTTCTGGAGTAGGGATAGCTTTTAGTTCAATATTGGGCTGGTCTTTGTTACCTTGGACACCTTGTGCACTTTGACTCTCGTTATCTTGAGGCACACTAAGGCTCTCTTTACTGTCTTCAGGAACGCCAGTCGTAGCAGGTGCAGAAATTGCAGGATTCTGATTACTTAGCATGTTGCTATTTTGAAAACTTGTAGTCACAGGTGTTGGCAAAGAAGAGGGACCAGCCATCATATTTCTTTGTAATTCCATGTTCTGCAAGAGAGGTGGATTCTGCTGAGTTGTCAAGGATAATTTAGCTGCTTTTGAATTCTGTCTGCCAGGGCTTGGTGTAGTTTTCCTACTGGATCCAGGACTGGACCTTCGGCTATTGCTTGGACTTGCTCTCTTTGTTCCTCCAGTGTTGGTTTGTTTTCCTGAATTAATGACCACACCTTCCAATTTGTGTGTCTGTGGAGCAGCAAAACTAGACTGATTGTTAATTGTGAGATTTGACGGGGCTTGTCCAATGGCCTTCAAAGTAGTGGGATTAAGACCCTGCTGATCAAATCCTCTATTGAGATTAGGCCTGGGAGGTAAAGGAATATTAATCTGGGGAGGGAACAGACCGGCTATAGAAGCATTGAGTCTCTCTGGAGACAAGCTAATTTCTGATGGTTCTGTGCTAGGCGGACGGTTATTAGGAGTCTGAGGATAGTATGGCCTTGGGCTTGCCCTGTTTGGGGTTTTAGGCCTTGAAGTTTGTGATGGGGTGGCAACATTGGGAAAGTGGTGTGTAAGAGCACCGGGCAGAGAATTAGACTGCTGCTGGGGACTTGCACCTTGAGCAGTTGAAAGTGGGGTTGAAAGTCCAGGTTTAGGTCCCGTCATCATTAATTGGTTCTGTGAAACTACTAAATGAGACGTCAAATTATTCTGAGCTCCTGATGCTGGGGGACCTTCAGTTCCACCTCCTTCTGGAAGGGAGGATACTGATGAAACCTCTCCGAGGGGTGAGCTGGAAGGGTTCTGTACATTATCTTGATAAACCATTTTTCTTGCATTATTTCCCAGGGGAGGATTGCTTGGCAAGGAAATTCTTTGTTTATCAGGAGATGGAGGCACTGATCCAGGACCTTGGAGGTTAACCATGACAGGCATGTTACCACTCTGCTGCATCGGCATTCGTTGAGCATCTGGATTCAGAGGCCCTCTAGGTGGGTGAACACCTTGAGGTACAGGAAGCCTGACTGATTTGGGATCCTGCTGCATCATAAGCATCATCATCATCTGCTGCTGCTGCTGCGGTGTTTGCGGTGGTGCCTGGGCTTGCTGTGGTGGTGCCTGCGGCTGCTGCTGCTGCTGGGGCTGCGGCTGCTGCGTATGGGGCATGAGTTGAGGTGGCATCTGCTGAAGTGGTCTTTGTTCCACTGGCTGAGATGGATAACCTAAGACAAGAAGATGATACATTCATTAAAACCAAACAAAGATCAGAGAAGGCAGAATTTCTGTAACGAACAGGATCAGATAGGAAGTGCAGCCAAGAGGCTGTTTATCTTATGCGAGGCTTTACAAATAAGGAGAAAGATTTTACTCAATTTTTAAAAATATTTTTACTTTATGTATGAATACCTTGCATGACATCTAATTGGAGATCTCTTAGTGTATTGTATCAGCTACTAGCTATTACTCCAAATTCATGCCTCTTGAAAACTCTCTGCAGCTGTCCATGGGCTTGCTTTCACTTACAAGTGCAGAGTTGGACCTTCACCAATGAATACTCCTTCAAACAAACTTAAGAATTTGACAGGCTCTGTGGGACGTGGACTAGCACACTTGCTACAGATCTGACATTTTCTAGTGTAAAAAGTAGAATCTGCCGCATATTACTTGGCCAAAAATGGTGCTAAGAACCACCCGTGTGGTTTATACTATACATTCCTTAGAGGGCTTTGGATTTAATCCTCCCTATGTGCAAAGGATTATTCCAACTGCAACCTCTATTTCTTAATTCTGAAAATCAGCTATTGGTTAATGCTAAATTTTTAAGGCATCAGTCTGTGCTACAGCTAGAAATACTGAATTTTTAATCAATTATGTTATTGGTGAGTAATTCTACAGTATTCAATATGATATGTGTAGGATGATAAAAGAGAATGTGGTCACCTCTTCCTTTTGAGTTAATTCACAGAAAACACTCACAATGGTACCAATTAGTTAGTAGGAGGAAAAAAAACCTTGGACATGAATGTGTGATAACACAAATAAAATAGAACTGTCACAAAAATCAGTAAAAGCTCTCCTATAGTTATCACATTCAGATAATCCACAGAAAAATCCTACTACCTGGTGGCCTGCTTGCAAAATCGGAAAGTTTAGGGCCTGAATTATCTAAATTCACTCCTTGTTCTCCAGACATCGACGACTGATCACCCTCCTCCAGGCCAGCTGGACGCGGTTCTGAAGAACTGAAAGAAGAATAATTGTCATTAAGATGCAGCCCTCACATCAATATTTGGCTTCTGTTTCCATAATTAAGTGCTCAAGTCATTAATTCCTAGCATTTTTTACAGCTCTGCATTTCACTAAAACGCACGACTGCCTCTGGTACAACATGACCCATCTGCACACAGAGCCCGGGTCTGCTGACAGTCACTCCTCTCCCTTAAATACCACTGTAAAAGAAACAAGTTAACTGGTGCTCTGTCGATCTCAAACATTTCTTTCCTTTGTTTCTACCTTGAATCTGAGTTTTATAACTTAAAAAATGCCAATTTTCCAAATGATATAGATACATACATATTTAAACTAAATAGGCTTCCCTCTAATACTGCTGTGATATCTGTATAGATTAGTATGTACGGCAGGTAGCTCCATAGAAATTTATTTTAATGGTAGCACCATTTCGTCCAGTATCATACCCAGACATGACTAGCTCAGATATCAGAGACCTCTGTTAACGTTACAGGAAAAAATGCACTGACATATCAGATGATGTAAGTCACCCGCCAGAGCACAGACCTTTGTGGGATACTGAGGCTCTGTAAGTGATAGTGGAATCACAGACTGGTTTGGGTGGGAAGG